GTTAATGACGCTGTGGGCTAATGGGCATGTAGCTACTTCCTTGTTTCAGATGATACGTCATGTTTGTAGTCGACCAATGAAGATGAGTTTACATATCACCTTGGGTTCGTCCTTCACCTTCTCAAAATGATCCCACACTTTGGATTTCCCTTCATGTTATTAACTAGCCTGTGGAATAACCGCAGGTACCAGCCCTGGAAATTAGGGGCCGTACACATGTCGACTGGAAACACGAGGTCGGGCACTGGGTGCTTCTTTTGTGCCTTTTTTGTAACAGCTTTCAAAAGCGCAGCGGCAGGTTACTAAGTAGCGTTAACAAGCATCGTATAGCTTATTTACCTGAAATCCTGAGTGCAGAGCTGATAATCTTCCAGGCGCTGTTTATAAGTGTGTAGGCCTATCGTCTGTGGGACAGATGTAAAGCTCTGGGTAGCCCTGCACTAACATGATCAACTTTTCCGTATTTATCAGACTGAATATTTACAGAAGAAGGGAAAGATATCTGTTGGCTTTGATTGGTTTGTAAGGCTGCTGTCTGGCTGCTGAGCGTGCTGAGCGACCAGTGAAATCTTGCCGACTAATGACCTTTCTGGACGACTAATGTTTGGTCGACTATCAGGGGGGCAGCCCTATTGCCAACTATTTTGATAATCAATTGATCACTTCAATCATTTCTCAGGCAAAAAATGTCAGCCCTTGTTCGTATTAAAGTTCACAGGAATCATTGGTGTACAAACAAACAATCAGCTCAGTTGAGAGCAACATTGGGCACAGGGCTGCATTGATCTTGACCTGTTTTAATTCTCACATGCAAACTTAGAGCTGCACAGAGTACAGTGCCTTGCAGAGTATTTTCCACTTGTTTGATGTCTAAAATAGTTTCATTTGAACATGCCTTACACAACCAGGAAGTAAACACCCTTCATTCACGGCATGATTTGCTGGCTTAGTCATGGCCCCTCCTTCAGGATTGGCTGGCTGCAAAGTATTTCTCACTCGTTAGGAATCCTGTCACATGGGCAGCACAAGGCAGCGGCTATCTGACCTGTGAGCTGATGTTAACTTGGATGACAGTGCAGACCTTATGCAAGCAGTCTCTCTAGGCAGAGGCAGCAGCAATGTTGCTTAAGTTGTAGCTCTGGGCATTCATGCATTATGAGTAATTAGGACATCTCCTCGTCCAAAATAAAATATGGACTTTTTGGCTCATTTAGGAGTTGTTTCAACATCAACTCAGTGGATAAAATAAGTAAAGAGGATATCATTTGATGCCTGTTTCATTGAAGCGAAAAAGACAAATGCACTTGTCAGATTTGCTCAGCATAAGTAGAATACTCAGCACAAAAAGACTGACCTTTTATAAGACTGACCTTTATAAACCTACAGATGTCGTGTGAGATTAAAAGAAGGTCAGACATGGTGAATAAATAAGGCTGGTCGGCAGTGTGTTAAAGTAGCCGCTGTTTAAGTCTGTTGACGTAGAGTGACAGCTGACTGCAATGTCAGTGTGCGAGACGTTTGCAAATATTGCTTTATCACATTCTGTACGGCGATAAAGCTCTCAGCCAGCCCTGTGCTTTGACTCTTTTCACCCTTCTTGTATTTCAACTCTGTATGTTTCTTTTTTTATACCATAACACTAGTAACAAGATATCGCTGCACAGCTTTGATATACTTTGTCTTGGGGATGTCTGCTTGGAAACATCAAAAGAAGTTTGAAACCCCAGCCAAGAAAGCTTTTGTTTGGCGAACATACACCCTCAAACCGTAAAGCAGGAGGACAAGGTACTTTAAGCCGGCTTGATCTCAGACAGCAGGGTTTGACAGGCACTCCAATGATCTGTCAAGGTAGCAACAACAACATTAGTCAGTTCCTTGCAACGGAAAGGAGATGTAAGGAAGATATAAGGAACCGAGGCAAGTCCTGACTTGATGTTGAGAGCATGATACTCCCAATGCCAGGCCGTTTTACACTGAAAATACATAGGTGATTCACAGTGAGGATTTCATTATTAATGCAGGCCCTTACTGAGATATTTGTAATGAAGCTGCCAAAAAAACAATAAATTGTGCCAGTAATGAAATTATATTAAAATGTCCCTTTTCATGCCAAAAGCTTACCAATAATCAGTGCCTCTAGCACAATTTGAAATTTTGGCAGTGTAACACAGAAAGCATTTGAAACAGAAATTAAATCATCGCACAATTAAAACCTCGACTGGAACCAGTACTGACAACAGAGTTACTTACCCCAGCTACTCAGTGCAAAACTCTGAGACTGGTTTCTGTCTTCAAGGGCTTCATTGAGCTGTTGTTTTCATTAGAGATTAATCTGTTGATTATTTCTACAAGTAACTGAATAATTATTTAGTCTATAATATGACACACCAAGAGAGCAGTTGGCTGTCAGTCAACATTGCGCCATAGTGGCAGTAGCAGTGTGTTCTGCAAAGTCAGCACTGGTCAGCCCTTATCGGTTGTTTTTCAGCTGATTGTATGTCGACCTGGTGGAACCTGTCAGTCAGGAAAATCAATGTGATTGGCAGCTCAGTGCACGAGAAGAGAAAAGGAAGTGAGGAAGGCAAACAAATGTCTAGAGATGAAAACAAGCTTGTTGTGTGACATCAGGTTTTGTTTTTAACGTGCAGACTGGCTAACGCACATCTTGAATCCATCCTGTCCGTCTTCCAGTTTCCCTTTTTTGAATGAAGAATACAAACCCCCACCACCTGCTGGTATAGAGTTATATCCTCTCACGCAGGCGCAGAACGCACATGCTAGTTGGCTGTTGGCTGTAGTCTTTGCAGTGTGTTCAAGTGCAATTTTTTTGGTTGAGATGCATGCGACAGTAAACGACACATCAGTAGGTCTTGGTTGCTACTAGTTCTTTAATGTTGGCCAGGTGTGTCGGGGCTTTTGTAGTATAGTGCTGTCATGATACTGAAAGTTAATGTAGGTTGATAGGTGAATGTTTGTTGCCCTAGTGGTATGTGCTAGTTGGTCGTTGGCTGTAGTCTTTGCTGTGTGTTCAAGTGCAATTTTCTGGCCGAGACACAGGTGATGCAACAGTCGGTCTTCATGGCCACTAGCTTTTTAATGTTGGTTTGGTGCGTCTGGGCCTTTATATTATGGTGCTGTTATGATACTGGAAGTTTTATTTCCCATACGGTACCTTTAAAAGCATTTTAAAAAAACCCTCAGGGCTCTAACACACCAAGGCGTCAGCTGGCTGTTGGTCTACGTAGGGCTATAGGTGAATGTCTGTTGCCCTAGTTTTTGCAGTGTGTCCTGCACCATTGGCCCTTGTCATCTCTTTTTCAGATGATTCAGCATGTTTAATCGGCAATAGCAGAGCTCATCAGTGAATGAAATCACTCTGATTGGCAGGTTAGCTCAATGCACAAGAAGAGAAGTAAGGAAGGTAAACAAATGTCTAAAGTCAAACTGGCTAACTAGTGTCTTGAATTCAACCCGTTGGTCTTCCAGTTTCCCTTTTTGAATGACAAAACAGACAACCACCACCTGCTGGTATAGAGTTCATTCCTCTCACGCAGGTGTAGAACATGCATGCTAGTTGGCTGTTTGCTGTAGTCTTTGCGGTGTGTTCATGTGCAACGTTTTGCCCAAGACACAGGCAGTGTGAGGCAACAGTTGGTCTTTGTGGCCACTAGTTCTTTATGTCGGTTCAGCGTGTCTGGGGTTTTATGGTATTGTGTTATCACAATACTGGGAGTTTTAACTTTTTAATGTCGGTCAACGTAGGGCCATAGGTGAATGTCTGTTGCCCTAGTTTTTGCAGTGTGTCCTTCACCATCGGCCCTTGTCTTTAATCGGCAATGGCAGAGCCCGTCAGTGAATGAAATCACTCTGATACAGGTTAGCTCAATGCACAAGAAGAGAAGTGAGGAAGGTAAACAAATGTCTAAAGTCAAACTGGCTAACTACTGTCTTGAATCCATCCTGTCCGTCTTCCAGTTTCCCTTTTTGAATGACAATACAAACCACCACCACCTGCTGGTATGGAGTTATTTCCTCTCACACAGGTGCAGAGTGTACGTGCTAGTTGGCTGTTGGCTGTTATCTTTGCGGTGTGTTCAAGTGCAGTGCAACTTTTTGCCCGAGACACAGGCGATGCAACAGTTGGTTTTCGTGGCCACTATAGTTCTTTAATGTTGGTTGGGCATGTCTGGGCCTTTAGAGTATGGCAGTTTGAAAAACACCAATATTTGTTACCATTTTCAATACCACAGGGAAAAATTGACATTGAGGGCATACAAGTTAAAATTAACAGAATGACTAAAAAGGTTAATTTAACAAGGCTACAACATGAGGACTTTCAAAACCATTTCAGATATTCAGAATTGATAAATATTGATAAATCAGTATATTTTACAACACTGATTTATCCAATCCGTTGGCCCAAAACCCCAAAATATTCCATTTACGATATCTTAAAATACAGAAAAACAGCATGAACCTCTGACTGAATAAAATGTGTGTAAAACAATAAAATGTCAGTCAGTGTCAAGTGTATCCCACTGCAGTTAAATCCAGATTGCAACAATAAAAGTTCCTGCCAAATGGCATGTGATGTTGAAAGAAGATAATTCCCTTCAGTTTTCTGGCTTTAAATGCGATTGACATCCCTGACGTGCAGCATGCTTAGTGTTTATTCATCCATTTGGTTACATGAGCTCCTCGGTTCCCCGTGATGGCGGGGGAATAGGTCAAGTGTGTTGTGACATTAGAGCTAACCTCTCTGAAGGGTCAGCAGGCTCGCAGCAGGACACATCAGCGTATATAGGGTCACTAAACACAATGTCAGACTCTGACATGCCGTTGCCACAAGGCCAGAATGTTCACATGAAGAGCACAAGCTCCCAAATTGAACTAAAAATGCCAGACTGTTGCTGTATTTCTGATGAAACTTGCATCTCTAATGTTGCCCAGACACAAAGCACATTAATTCATTTTATCCTTTTGTATTTCTTCTAATTTAGCTCATGCGTATCCGCTGCTGAGAAGGAGAGCAAAGGTAAGATGCCTTGTTTTGTTTTAATTTGTGGACACAGTATATGATGTAATTAGAGGTAATAGGCATGCAAATTTGTTGTCATCCCCCCAAGGTGAGGACCACAGAGAGAATAAATATAAAGCACACAAACAGTTTGGGGACCGTCGCGGAGGTGTGACAGGAGCTCGCACGTATTTCTACGCGGATGAGGCCAAATGTGACCAGCATATGGAGACCTTCATCAAATGTATTAAAGCATCTGGTAAGTAAAGAGAAACTGAAATACATCCGGGGCCAGATGCATAAGGTTATAGTCATGAATTTACACAAAGACAAAAATGTGCATTCTTTCAGTCATATTTATAAAGCTGCACGTGTGTTTCTGTTTTATAAATCTTAATCATTGTAGAACTGGGCATACATGCAAGAGCCTCATTTCCACTCCCACAAAAACGTCCTTTAGCATACATTTGCATTTTGACACTTGTGGCTGTTCCACCCCTCATTAGACCTGTCAGTGAAAAAAAATTTGGCAAGGAAGAAATGCAGTTTCGCATCGCAGATTTTGACAACAGTGCCAGAACAGCTGTCATTTCGGAAGCCTTTGGATATGTGTAGCATCCATACCACTAATTAATCACATTGCAAACCCTAATCACAGTAGATTTTCTGTCATCATTATTATTAAACATCAAACAGATGATAAATGATTTATTAATAGTGCTCATGTTAAAGCCATTCATACAAAGTGCTTTACAATTCAGGATAAAATTAAACTAACCTCAACAGCATGGATGGATTACTGAACAAGGCCTACTGGGCACAGGACCAGGGACTTGAAGTGTCAGTGGGCTCTGTCTGACCCTTCACTTGCAAAATGTCAAATGTGAAATTTATGCAGGGTTTACACTTATGCATGGAATCAACTGATAAATTGTGTGATTTATCCTGGCTTCATATGAGCAGAGGAAATCTCCACTTGTTGCTAGGGTAATTTATACAATGTAAAATGCCAAAGGCTTGTGCTAATAACGTTAGCATGTTATATTTGTTTGGAAAGTGTGTTTTGTCAGTGAACCTTGTGAGCTGTAATGGAGCTGGATTTTATAACGTTACCTTTGTTAAATGCTGCTGTTGTCCCTGGTTTCATATGAGAAGAGGAAAAGCTAGATGCTAGGCTAATTTATACAATGTAAAGCGCCATAGGCTTGTGCTGATAACATTAGCATGTTGTATTTGTGGGTAAAATGTGTCCATTTGTGTTCTTGGGTTTGAAATTGTCGCTATTAAGCCATGTTTAATGTGTGTTTAATATGTGTTTTGTTTTTTTATTTAAGATATTTTTTAGGGCATTTTTGCCTTTAACTGATAGGAAAGCTCAGTGTGAAAGGGGGAGAGAGAAAGAGGGAATGACATGCAGCAAAGGGCCACAGGCTGGAGTCGAACCTGGGCCGCTGCAGCAACAGCCTTGTATATGGTAGGCCCCTGTTTTGGGTGTGTTTTAAATCATCAAAACTTTACAGGACTTCACAGAAACCTCCGTAGCCAACTAGTGCTTTGGAGGTGTAACTGCAGAGTAAAACAGACACACCGCTGCACAAGTATAAATTAGTGCTGCACGATTTGATAAAAATGTGCGATGGCAGACAATATCGCAATTTGCTATTGTGATTACAATATCATAAAGAAAAATGGTATCATGAGTCTTCTTGCTTGATTCAGTGTTTCCCCTACATTATATTGGGGGGGGGGGCATAGTTACTGTTACGGACAGTGTGTAAATGACCATTAACAGACAGCACGGCACTGGGCACACAGCGGAGTGAGCATATGTTGCGTTCAGGCGTTATCACGTAAATGACAAATTCCAGCACGCCATAGCACAACACAGCAGCATGTCAAGTGGGCCGAAACTGAGCAAAATTGCTCAATTTTTCATTTGTTACATTATATATATGTATATATATATGTGTATACACACACACACACACACACACACGTGGCGACTTTAACTTTTAAATTTTTACACAGCACGTCTTTCTGTTCAACGTCGCCGTACCTGTATCCAAAGCGTTGCCATATAATAGACGTTGTGTTTTTTCGCCCCTAAGCCTGTTCATGGTCGTGCTCATGTTCTTATTCAGCGTATATGTTGTTGCGTAAACTCTGCATAGAGCTGATGCACAAGTATAAATCCCACTTTACACATATCGTCCAGGGAGAGACTCCTGGTCCTATGTACGAAAGGTGATGGGGCCCTTTGCATATCTTTGCCCAGGGGGCCATTTTCTCACAATCCACCCATGGTTAACTGGGTGATGTAAAAAGTGATAAAATTCACTCATAAATAATTTAAAATTAGTTCATAAATGTGCCTTTGATTGACATTTCACAGAATGCTGTGCAGCCTCCAAAAATTATAACCAATCAGTGAAATTGGCAAACAACCTGAAAATACTTTTATCTGTCTCTCAATTTATATTCCATCTCCTCCTCATCATATCACCAGCAGCTATCTCTGCTAAAACTGTGTGTAAGCCTGATTGCACTCTTTGCAACCTTACACTGTGGACATTGTCTTAAAGCTGTAAAGATTGTGGCTCATATACTTTCATATGTTTTCCAAGATATTGCAAATATTGTCATTCCTCAGACAGTGGCCATGTGGTCTGGTTCTGTAATCCACTCCATTTAGTACATGCAGCTCATCTTTAAGCATGCATTTACCATTAAGTCAGTATTTTTGTCTTTGCATTGTTTTATTTATTTCACTCAGTGTGTTTGACCTCCAGGTGGGAGTGCAATGGACGGTTTCTCTGCCATCAAAATGACTGCTCTTGGACGGCCTCAGTTTCTGGTAGGCAGTAGGTGGTGATTAAAAGGTCACTGTACTAATTTATCTGATGCAGTTTTGTGGTGGGCTTACATCATGCTTTTTATTTAAAGCTCCAGTTCTCAGAAGTCTTGGTGAAATGGAGGCGATTTTTCACCTTCCTGGCATCACAGCAGGGGAAAGACGACGTGGAGGCCTTAGAGCAGAGGCTGGAGCTCAAACAGATGCAGGTGGAGTTTCTCCTCCTCTGTCCTCCTGGTGAACTTTAGTAATAGTTGGAGTGATCTTCCTATAGTACTCTCTACCAGATGTTACATTCAGTGTTATAGATTATTTTTGCACTCCTATTTCATACACAAGGATAATGCTGCACAGTGTGCCTTGCAGTACTTCTTCATCTTTTCTATCCATCTAGGAATTCCTGACCAAGCTCGGTGCAAAAGGTGACTTCTACGGCTGGTTTACTGGAAGGGAAGAGGAGTCTTCAGGGTAAGCACGAGCGCAGAGAACTGAAATAGACACGAAATGTCTGTGTAATATCTGTAAAACAGTGTCAGTATTGCACACAGGGAAATATTTCATTACAGCCATGGCAATTTAGAGGAAAATTAATTCAATGAAAAATGATGATTATAATGAAAAGAACAAATTGCACCCTAATGGATTGCAATGCCTTTTTGCAGTGGTAATGCTTCACTAACTCTTAATACAATTTAAGCTCGTCATTAAATCACAAAACAATTACCACTATTTTCCCACATGCAAAACAAATAAAATACATATTTTAGCATAATATTCTTTATTGATTTAAGTGTCCTCATAGTTTACTTAACAGCACAAGCACAGCAATGTACAATATATTTGTTTGGGAATTTTTGTTTTACAGATTATTTGTTTAAAAGTAAAAAGTGAATACATAATGACATCAGAAGGAATTCAGGTTTTAAGTCACAACATCTTATGAAAAAAGTTAGAAACGTTTTTGTTCTGTCAGCGTTAACGTGTTAATTGCGATGTGATTAAGGTCCGAACATAACACGTTATTTATGTGTGCTGCTGTTTTGTCCCTTTGACCAACCATAGGATGTTTTCACATTTAGTCCTTTTTAAATGAAATGAACTCAGTCCTCTTAAAGTGCACCAAAAGTTGGACCGACAGAAAGGGGACTCGGTTCTTCCTGCGTTCATATTGTCTGTTCATTTCAAAGAGGACTCAGTTCTCTTTCTGGTCCACTTCAGCTCTGATGGGGCCTCAGTCCTCTTTCTGTTCACACTATAGTTGATATGTAATATATATTGATGTAGTTTATTTTTTACTTTGATGTGGCACTGCGGTGCGGGTATGAACTTGAAATTGGAGGGAAACCTTAGTGTTTCTGTGTGTTGTGGACAGTTGCTGTTTGATGGTTTCCTCGTTCCATATCTGGAGGAGTCATGACCAAAGTACTTCTCGTCCACTGGTCGTGTTGTCTTTACCTGTGGCCGTGGTTTCATTGTGTTTATTATGCGTCTTGCTGAAATAGCACATGATCTGTCTACGGCAAGCCCAGAGGGCTGCAATACAGTAGCAAAAGGCAAAGCGGACTTAAAGCGAACCGAACGAGTTTGGTTCGCTTCAGAGGGGTCTGAGTTCTCTTGGAATGTTCACATTTGCACAAAAAATGCTGAGTCACCGCTCTGAGTCCACATAAGGGCCTGAAAAGGACCAAGTGTGAAAACACACTTAGTTAAGCCCGGGAAGTCTGGGAGTGCATAGAGCTGTCCAAATCCACAATTCAACCAGTCCACAAGGGGCCTCAAGCGGACTTTCTGCAGACTTCCATGGAGTCCACTTGGGATGCAGACTTCAGCAGAGTTCACTTATGTAATTGCCCACATTTCATTGCAATACAGATGTGAAGTGGTAGCTTTTTTTCAATAGCTGACGAAAAAATCAAAGCTTATGTATATGTAAAACAGTTACTGTTGCCTATTAAAACAACACTTGAATTGTGTGGGCCAGAAATGATATTCAGCATCAACAGAATGGCAACAGAAACAACAGAAAAACAACAAAAGAACTAATAGGTCATAGCTCGGCCCTTTGTATCTTTGTATTTGAATGTCTGCAGTCTGTATGTTATACAGAAATGTATTTTGTTCACCAAGAAAACAACCCTATACATGAGATTTGTATCTTATTATCTGCAGGGACAGATGAGCAGACAGAATATAAAAGCAGTTACAATGATTGTAATCGTCGCTTAAACATTTCCATGGCTAAGTGGCTTGCGACCTCTGATAGTAAACTTGTTACAGTACGTACGACAAGGTGTGCGAGGGCTCAGTCTGAAAGTCCAGAGGGAGGACATTTGGATTCAGTCAAAATGACAACACCACTGGGCTTTTGAATGGCTCATTTCACTTTAAACACTCCAGACAGCTTGGTTGACAAGTCAAAAGTAATATCCACCTTGTGTCACATGGAGTCAAATTATCACCATAGTGCTTTGAGTCTGAGCCACCTCCTACGAGACCAGCAAACAGGTGCAGCTAATCAGACAGATGTCAACAGGCAACCACATCGCCAAAGAAGGTACTATGAAAGCAATACGAAAGCAGAAAGCACCATCTTGAGGTGTGAATTGAAGAAATTAAAGGGAAATTTCGGTTTATTTCAACCTGTCTCCTATCGTCCTAAATTTGTATCAAGTGACTAGTGACATAAAAATAAAAGTTAGAATGTTAACAGTTAGCCTAGATACAGCCGGGGCGCATAGTAGCATCAGACCTGTTAAAACGTAAGTGAAAGGGCAACCTTCAAGTGCAAAGTTAATCCACTAAACAAGCTTTTTTTCCACAAAGACCGCCTCATATCGTTAGGATAAATGTCAGAGAACATATAGAAAACGACATGTAAATGTGTTGTCTTACCTTACCGGTGTGCTGCCATGTTTGTTTACCATTTAGCTCTGCTTTCCAAAGCACGGCCAAAATATCGCAAGAACAAGCAGAGATCTCATACCGTGCCTGAAATCTCGCGAGCTCTAGATGAAGCCCAGCTGGATACTACTCCAGGTGGAGGTGTCTTGTCCTCGGTCACATCCAGACCTTGAAAATAAGGCTGCAACCGGTCCCATTCCTTGCAACAGAGGCATTCCTCTTCTGTGGGCACTGGGGCACAGCATTCACATGTACACCACCAATCTCCAGAGCTACGCAGCCTTGTAGCAGTCATTCCTCCTCTCTCATCCTCTACCTGTTGCGCCTCTCTCTCTCTCCTCCTCCGTTCTTCAGTTTGACAAAGCTCTTCGTCAGTGTATTCTGGCTCAAATAAATAAGGGCGGCCATCAAACTCTGCAAAATTCCTCCTCCACAAAGTCAAAGTCTGGCAAAAAGTCAGCCATTATTCTATAAATCTTTCATAAAATAAATGAATGAACTTTTCAGGCTACTGTCCGGTTCTGCCTTCCAGCTGCTGCTGCTTGTTCTCGTGAGACTTCAGGCACGATATGAGATCGCTGCTTGTTCTCGCGATATTTCGGCCGCGCTTTGGAAAGCAGAGCTAAATGGTAAACAAACATGGCAGCACACCGGTAAGGTAAGACAACACGTTTACATGTCGTTTTCTATATGTTCTCTGACATTTATCCTAACGATATGAGGCGGTCTTTGTGGAAAAAAAGCTTGTTTAGTGGATTAACTTTGCACTTGAAGGTTGCCCTTTCACTTACGTTTTAACAGGTCTGACCCTACTATGCGCCCCGGCTGTATCTAGGCTAACGGCTAACATGCTAACTATTATTTTTATGTCACTAGTCACTTGAAACAAATTTAGGACGATAGGAGACAGGTTGAAATAAACCGAAATTTCCCTTTAACTACAGCGCTTGCTAAATCGGTGGCAACTGACTGCAGTCAACAACGTGAAAGACTTGGGTCTGAGGGACGTCCTAAGGTTGGCATGTTGTGACCAGTCATATGCCGTACGCAGGGGAACAATAGTTTCACACCTACAGGCCCTGTTTGAATAAGAAGGCAACTAAACTGGAACTCCTGAAAAGTTTTAATGCTGTGGCATTAACCGGGACTCATTGGGCGTCAGTGAGTAATCAAAATTATCTTGGAGTAACTAATTGGACATTGCAGTCCTTTGCTTTAACGGTTTGACATACAAAAGAACGACACAATGCAGAAACATGTGCCCAGCACCTCTCTGAAGTTGCAGAGCTATGGGACATTGCAAGGAAGGTGATGACAATTGGCACAGACTGCGCCTGGGATATGACAGCAGCAATAAGACTCCTCATGATCATAAAGAATTTTTTGGGCGTTCATTTGATCCCCAATCAAGATGCTTCAGTGAGAACTGCTTTACCTCGTTAATATGGACTTCAAAATGGTTTTGAAATGCAAAGTAATGGATTTTTCAAAAGGCATGGTAAACTTTAATGTCCCTGAGGAGTAATTTGAGATACAGACAGTACTCATGAGTACAACAAAACAGACAGTACAGTACATATATCAAACACTGTCAGGGGTAAATCATGGACAATTAGTGGTCACTGCTGGTTAAGATAAGCGATAGCTGATGGGACAAAGGACGATCTGTAAAGCTTGTGCTGCATCTAGGGAGGCGAAATCTCCCCCCTGGAAGCATCTGAAACTCAACATGGAGGGGATGTTGGAAGGAGTTTATTAAAAGTAACATTAGTGATCTTACAGCACAGCTTGACAACTTTCTCCAACTTGTTCTTGCTTGTAAGGCTCAGATTACCAAACCAGACAATGTTGAGGGAAAGAACGGACTCGATAAAAGCAGAATAGAACATTTCCATGATAGTCCTGTCGACATCAAAACTCCTCAGCTTCCTTGAAAAGAACAGGCGTTGGTTTTCTTTCTTACAGATGCCATCAGTGTCAATGCGCTTAATTGCGATTAACTATTGAAATTCAGCGATTAATCAGGCAAGTCTCTAAGGACATGCTTAGTTTCAGCGTTATACAAACAAAGTTAAGATTACAAAGATGCTGGTAACTTGTTCCTTTGACTAATAGTTGCCATAACTTTGTGTCTTTTTATCCTGTACCTTGACAGAACCATTGACTTGCTCGACTGGAACAGCCTAATAGATGACAGGACAAAGATATCGGACCTGCTGGTTGTCCCAAATGTAAAGGTCAGTAGCAAAACACACTGTGAGAGAAACTGAATGTAAATAACTTCAGTTAAAACAACGTCCAATCATTTATCATATTTCATCCCCCAAATACACAGTGGACACAATAACTTAGTTGCTATATGCTTTTCCAAATCTGACATATAATTTACAGCAGGCAGGAGATTTTAATGGATTTTCAATATAATGCATTTTAGTGACATGCGCAGCCACAGTTTACGCTTGTTGTATGAAATGTATCAGTGTTTGTTCTCTCTTATGTGAACAAACTTGTGACACATCTATGACAAGTAAAATCTGGCAGGAACTAAAATAAAAAGTGAATGTAATTTATAGGGCTGCCCCCAACCGAGAATTTTCCTAGTCAACCAAGAATCATCATTTAGGGCCATTAGTCTACGAGTCGCCCGCATTTAAATACAAAACAGTACTAATGAACCTTCATTAATATATGTAGTATAGCACAGAGAGAACTGGACCCAAAAGCGTGACTCAGACGGCTGCTCAGTTTAAAGTGGATAAGGCAAGAAGTGGTATCTTGGGTTGATCCAGGGCATTTGCGGGGAAACAGGGCAGGCAGGCTGAGCAGGGCTGGAGTGGCAGGCAAGTATGTGACTGTTTTCCTCCAAAAACACGGGAAAAAAGGGTCCAAGTTGGAAAATACCAAACTCACCCTTTAAGAAAACACCTGGTTTAATTGCATGTCTACAAAATCTGGGCAAGTTACACATCAACATATCTGCCGACCTTGGGCCAAAGACAGCTGAAGGGTGAATAAAGTGAGACGCGCTAATAGGTGCCGTGCTGTGTGATGTTCAGTTCATTAGCATCTCACGGTGCACACTCTCCTGGGTTGTTTGCCCAGCTAGGTGAGCTGGAGCCTCTGCTGGAGAAGTTCACTGAAGAGGAGGAGAAACAAATGAAGAGGATGTTACAGCGCATGGACGTCTTAGCCAAGGTAAACTCGCATAAACAACAAAAACTAATCACTGTACGCAAATAAACACACACCTGGCAGCAGTTGTGTATCTTGTTGATCTGTAAGGAGTGAGTGCTTATAGTTTGACCAAATGTGGAATGATTATGAACACAGTGGGATGTTTATTGGTTAAACATGCCTCTGCAGTGTGATAATTTAAAACAAACTGTGCTTTGTTGGTTGTTGTGACATTTTTTTGAAGCATCTGACAGCTTATCTTGTTTATGCTTATGTAGTGCACTAACTGACACGAATAGATCTTTTCCAGCGTGTACAAATGTGTCAATAACTAAAAGCCACGTCGTACAACTGTGCTGTTTTTAACATGGCCAAGGCCACTGCAGTGTTGCTAAGCATTGTAAACATAAGCACAATAATAAACCGAGACTATTATTTGTGTTTAAAGTAACACTGTATGTGTAGCCAGGAGCAGTAACCACATCTAAGTGTGAAGTAAGGAATCTCTCTAGGTATGTGTGTGTGTGTGTGTGTGTCCTTCTCACATCACGACAACTGTTCATCCAAACTACTTCACACTTTGCAGGTGTATTGCTCAGGACTCAAGGATGGGCATTGTTGAATCAGGTGTGATTTGAATAAACAAGCGAACAGCAATCTGTGACTCTGAGCGGCAGCAGCAGGGAGGGGCTTCAGAGTTCTGCAGAGGACGTCTCGCTACCTGTATCTCACTGGTGTTTCTGACCATGAGTAGCCGCCTCTTTGGTGTGTTACCACGTCACCAGCGGCAATATACATCTACTAATTAAATCCCTGCTCTGTTATATAACCATGGGGGAATGTCAAAGGAAATGACTGAATGCCTATTTGGAAATTATTAGATCCGTTAAGTGTATTTCACCTGTGTTTTTGACCGTGAGTAGCAGCAGCGTGGGATTTGCAGTGATGGATTTAGTGATTTGGTGGCCTGAGGCAAACACCATCTTACTTTACTTTTCATCCTCTCTCTAACTGGGAATGTTGGTAGGCTATAGGCAGTGGTAGAAGAAGTACTCAAAACTTTTTTCTTAATTAAAACTACTAGTCCATACCCATTGGTAGCTTTGTCACCTTCTACCTATGCCAATCCTCAATGCCTATGTGCACTTTCACATAGATTGACCATGTCAGTGAGTAGAAAAATGTGGGACAGACAGAATGACACACTGACAGTATCCGTGATTATGTACAGCATACCATACCATGACTTAGTCATACCAAAAATTAGAAAAAAACCCCAAACCTTGGTCCACAGGGGGAGCCACATCGATCGGTCGCATTTTAGCCATTTTTAAGCATTTTTCTGTTGTTATAGCGCCACCCAGTTGCCAATTAGAGTTAAATTTCTCCAGTCACCTTGAGGCGTCCTGTTCTACATATCTACCAAGTTTAGTAAAAATCCATATGGCGGTTAGGCCTAGATAAGAAATTAGCTCTCTAGCGCCCCCATTTTGTTTGATGGGGTCAATAATGGAGGGGTCCCCTCAGATTATGTGTGGTCATATGCCTACAAAGTTGCGTGGTGATGGGTGAAACCCTTGAGATGTTATACACCTTTATGTGATGAGCCACGCCCTCCGCAATATTCATTGCCTTATAGAAGCTCAGTTTTAGTAAGTTTTCCAACTTTTGCCAAGAGGGAACTTTAGATATTGGTCCCTAGATTATGTTCACCCAGTTTCATGCAGATCGGTCAAACTTCCGAGGAAGAGATCGATTTTAAGTGTTTTTTAAAAAATTCAAAATGGCAGAAAATCTGTATCACCGGAAGTTATGGGTTCTTGAAGCAAATGTGTTCCTCATGAGGAGAGGCATCTCTGTGCAAAGTTTCATGTCTCTACGACATACGGGGCATGAGATATGCCCATTCAAAGTTTGCAATTTCAGTCGGTTGCTATAGCGCCCCCCTTTGGCCAATTGATGTAATATTGCTTCATTCACATCCTCCCATGACCACGTGACAACATGGAACAGACACACACAGACAGAGTTTTCGTCATTATATAGTAAGATTAATACCGCACAGTAAAGTTTTGCATTCAAATGTTTACTTAAAGTGAAGAGTAAAAGAGGCATTATCGGCACAATGTACCTTAACTTGTAACTTAACTTCTGCTAATGTAATGCTGCATTGTTTAATGAACAATAACGCATCATATTTTAATTGTCATGTTTTGTGAGTAAAAGCATCGTAACAAGCTAAATGTCTCTGTCAGGTAAATAGAGTAATGATTTCCTCTGAAGAAGAAGTACACAGTATGTAAGTGATATACTGTTGAGATAAGGGGTGGGAGATATGGCCCTAAAATAATGTCACAATATTTCAGGGTATTTGTGCGATAACAGTATTCTTGACAATATGACAAATTGGTAAAAAAAATTATTATTACTTGAAGAAAATAGAATTGCAACAAAATAAGTGATATAGTTTTACAGTTTTCCTTCAAATATTCAGTAAAAACTAAACAAAAATGATCTCTCCTTTCTTTAGTTTGTAAACAACAACAGTAACTCAGATTCTGTTACAATATTAATAGTTCAACTAAATAAAATCTACCACAAATGACACATTTAAACAGCTCCCAAATACAAAAAAAGTCCCCTGGGATCTATATATATAAATCAACAGGTGATTTCCTTCTTTTAGTAAAATCCTAAATGATTGATTTTTTTTTTCCCACCTGGACCTTTATGCTCTGCCATTTCTCCTCTAATCATCACGCTGTAACCTGTGACAGGCTGTTAAGATACCACAACTATAACACATTCACATATATGGAGATTTTAGTAGAGCCACGAGAATCACGTAGGTTTACATTACCAAAGGTTTATGACAAAATCACTTGACGACACCGACTCCTGTGTGCACATGGTGAGAGAGGAGAGGGAGAGACGCTGTGCTGCTGCCAGAGGAGCCGCTGAATGAGTTCCCTCTCAGCGGTAAGTGACTAAAAGAGTCTGAGAAGTCCGGGGCTGTTCATAAAACATTCAGGATGCCACAGTTTATTCCACACTACTGAAGCTGCTCCTCTTTTTGGAACCACCGCGGAGTCTGTAATAATTTTGCTTTCAGCCATGCTTGTTGTTGCCATGGGTAACAGTATGACGTCAATATGTCAAGAAGCTGAAATATCACAATAGGAAATTTTCATATGATATTAAAAATATGCCAGTATTATCGTGAACAAGATGATATGACACACCCCTAGCAGAGATCCATATTTTTTAAGTCTTTTGGCCCTTTTGTACATTTGTTTGGGGTATAGTGAGTTAGAAAAGCAACGTGCTTTCAGTATTGTGATAAATCTACAGCTGTTTGGGGCCCATGTGTGTTGCTCAGGACCCAAAGAAGCACAGTGTTGGATTTAAAGTTGTTTGAATGAGTGGTTCTTGAGAAATGCCAAGCCTGTTCTGAACAGGCTTGTCTTGAAAGGGTGCTGCACCACTTCATTTTATAAAAGAACGTTTCTGTCAGGTGATATTATTCTAAATAAATACAATTTTTTTTTTTAATTCCAGCATGCCGTCGAGAACGGTGTCCGCTTGATGGTGGATGCAGAGCAAACCTACTTCCAGCCAGCTATCAGCAGACTCACATTAGAGATGCAGAGGATCTACAACAAAGAAAAGCCTGTCATCTTCAACACCTACCAGTGTTATCTTAAGGTCAGAATTGGTATAAAAAAAAAAAAAAAAAAGAAATACCACAGACTGAAATGTGTAAGTGATGTATCTGCACACAAAGCATGCAGACACAGTTATAATTCTTGTGATAGAAGAACATGCTGTGACAAATCGTGTAACTCCAAATGTCAACGTGTAAAGAGATTACTGTGAGTCAGCTGGGTTGAGGATGAAACAGTGACAAGAAGAGGATAATGTTGGTGGGAGTTTGGGTGCTTTATTTTGTATTTTCTTTAAATACACCATTGCAAATGAGAAACCGTTTAAGTCACAGCAGTTTCATTCATGTGATTAGCATCCCTTTTTTCCAATCTCATTATTATTCTGTGGAACGTACACAGGCTCACCATATTGTCACCTAAACATACAGTGTTGTGAAATAAAGATAACACATACTACCTCTAGCTAGGTATACCTTTGTCTCCTATAGTTTCTTCATTCTTGCTTGCTTGTGGCAGTCATAGTGTCTGGTTGGTTATGCTAGGTGGCTTAGGCTGGGTCAGGTGTAATAGGTCGTCCCATGTATTGTATCTAAACTTGAAGGACTTAATTTTGATCAATATTTGCTAAAGAGTGAACCATCCCTTCTTTTGCTCTGCAGGAGGCCTACGACAACGTCACCATGGATGTGGAATTGTCTCGACGTGAGGGTTGGGGTTTCGCTGCCAAGCTGGTGCGTGGGGCCTACATGTATCAGGAGCGAGAGAGGGCCAAAGACATTGGTTATGAGGACCCCATTAACCCAGATTATGAGTCGACCAATATAATGTACCACAGGTAAGAGCCAAGGCTTGTTTGTTTGTGTATTAAAGAGGATCTATTGGGGTCATTTACAGGTCCATGCTTGTATTTAAGTTTTCTACTAGAACTTGTTTGTATGCTTTAATGGTCATAAAACATTTTATCTTCCTCATACTGTGCTGTTTTCACCCTCTGTCTGAGAAGGCTTTGTTTTAGCGCCCGTCTCTTTAAGCCCCCCTGCCAAAAAGCCCAGTCTGCTCTGATTGGTCAGCATTTCCAGGTCTTTATCACTGATAAGGCTTTTAAACACAACCAGCTATGTTCCAGAAGGAATATGATCTGAAATCAGGGGGAATTTAACAACAGCAGCAACCAAGGACACCTGTTTTCCTGAAAATAGCATGTAGCTACATGTAGCACTGTACTTGCAGCTGGGGAATGACTGTATATAGCAACACTTTCTAATGTGAAAAATCGTCAGTAAAAGCTTCGTAATCAAAATCTTCACAAGTGGACATGTTCAAGCAGAACTACGATCCAAAATCAGGAAGAATTTAGATCATCAGCAACCAAGATTACAAGTTTCCCTGACGCTAGCATATAGCTACATATAGCTGTGTACTTGCAGCCGGCAAATGACTGTAACTGAGTATAGCGGCAATTTCTAACGTGAAAAATCACCAATAAAATCCTGTATAAGATCTGTACTTCACAAATGGATAGGTTCCAACAGGAATGTGATCCCAAAAAAGGTGAGAAATTAAGAACATCAGTAACCAAGATTACCTGTTCCCCTGATGTTAGCATGTAGCTACATGTAGCAGTGTACTTGCAGCTAGGGAATGACTGTTTATAGCAGCACTTTCTCCTGTTAAAAATGACAAATAATTACTTCTTAACACAGCATGTTCCAACAGAATATGATCCAAAATTGGTGAGAAATTAACACCATAAACAACGTAGACAACCAAGATTACATGTTTCCCAGACGTTAGCATGTAGCGACATGTAGCAGTGTACTTGCAGCCAGGGAGTGACTGGAACTGAGTGAAGTGGCAATTTCAGATGTGAAAAATCATCAATAAAAACTTGTATACCAAGATCTTCATAACTGGACATGTTCCAACAGGAATATGATACAAAACTGGGGAGAAATTAAAAACATCTGCAACCAAGATAACCTGTTTCCCTGATGGTAGCATGTAGCTACATGTAGCATTGTACTTGCAGCCAGGGAATGACTGCATATACTGCAGCACTTTCTTCTGTTAAAAATCACCAGTAATTACTTATTAACACAGCATGTTCCAACAGGAATATGATCCAAAACTGGGGATAAATTAACAACATAGGCAACCAAGATTACATGTTTCCCTGGCGTTAGCATGTAGCTATATGTAGCGGTGTACCTGCAGCGAGGGAATGATGGTAACTGAGTGTAGCGGCAGTTTCCAACATGAAAAATCATCAGTAGAAGTTTGTATACCAAGATCTTCACAACTGGACATGTTCCAACAGGAATGTGGTCGGAAATTGATGAGAAATTAACAACATAGGCAGCCAAGATTACATGTTTCTCTGATGTTAGCATGTAGCTACATGTAGCCGTGTACTTGTAGCTGGGGATTGACTGTAACTGAGTATAGTGATAAATCATCAATGAAAGCGTGTATACCAAAGTATTCACAACTAGAGATGTTGCAGCAGGAATATGATCCAGAATCAGGAAAAAATTTAGCAACATCAGCAAACAAGATTACATGTTTCACTGACATTAGCTACATATGTATATGATATGTATATGATATGTAGCTACATATAGCAGTATAGGCTAGGTAATGTAAACACTTGCACAAGTGTTCCCACAGCAGATGACCAAATAAGAAAATCGGTCACAATCTGACATCAGTGTGTAGCCAAAGTAGAAACACTGAACACAGAACCGTCAACAGCCTGAGGCTCACAGGGGTTCCTTCTACATATGTTTACCTTGTGATTTGAAACTTAGGTCATGTTTACATCCATGGTTGTATGACAGAAAATAAGGACAAGCACAGTAGGCACTCTTTAACTATTGACGACTGTCCAGATCAATAGAAGAGCCAAATCTGCATCTGCAAAGTTCAATCTTTTTAAGTCAAGTTCTCAGTTCTTCATATTCACACTTGAAGCTGTCTGCTGTCACAGCCTTTCGCTACTGGATAGCAGACACTTTTGAGTTGAAGTGTCTTGCACAAAGACACCCCAGGAAAAAACACCCCGATGTTCCCACACACCTTCTAGGCACAATTCTGCTGCAATTGACAGCACAGGGATTTAATTTTAAGGGAAGTTCTATTGGAGTTTCTGGGTTTAACGTCTTATGTCTGCAAGCTTCCACCCTGTTGAGCCATCCTAGTGCAAGTTACAGAAATCCATCCAGCTCCGGGGGTGCCGTGTTGTAACAATTTTCTGACATTCCTCTAGATTAAGGCAAAGAAATCACCCTGTGGAGATCAATATGCTTTGCACAAAAAGAGCAAAGGCCACCCTCAAGCATCTGATTGGATTTTGAGGTAAACATCAACATATGAGACACAAAGTTTAGCTGATGGGCTACAGCTCAGCATGAGGTGGGATTCAAAATATGCAGATGGTGGTAAAGCACATGAATATTAACTCAGCTCCACTAGCAGGGAAGCAGAAAGCAAAGGTCCTCCCTGAATGGATTGGTCCAGATTTTTGGTAAATATGTTCAGTGTTTAGGGACAATTTTACTGTTCAGTGTGTAAAGACAGTCCTGCAGCACACAATAAATCTTTCATGCTAATATGAAACAATGTAAGCCACAATTTTCATACATGTTATATATTTTATTATTTCAAAGTGAATAGTTGAGTTGAAAATAGTTTGGTAATTCACACTTCACAGATAGAAGTTCAGAGATAGCACAGTTGAATTGCTGTCCTTGAGTGCTCTGAATGTGTCTGTGTTTCTGTATAAGGTGTCTGGACTATGTGCTGGACGAGATAGCACTCAACAGAAATGCCAACGTCATGGTGGCTTCCCATAATGAGGACACAGTGAAACACACTTTGAGGAGGTACGGCTTTAATTATATCCCAACACACTGTTGAAAAATACACTTCCCATTGATTTTATTACACAGCTTTGCATCTCTCTGTCTCTCTCTGTCTGTCTCTCTCATTCAGAATGAATGAGCTGGGCCTCTTGCCCACAGAGAACAAGGTGTACTTCGGTCAACTACTGGGCATGTGTGATCAGATCAGCTTCCCACTGGGTGAGAAAAACACACTCTCTCACACAATCAACAATGACTAGGCACCGATTTTTTCTGCCCTACACGAGGATGATTTGACAGGTTAAGTTCAGCCTGTGCAGGATCTGTATCTGCTTCCCTCCCTATAACTCTCAGCTGCATCTCCTCAGACCTTCCAGCCACACATATATACCCCACAGACCAATAGGACTGCATGACGTGCACATGTACAAGTCTGTCTGCAGCCTGAAACGTGACATATGAACTGAGACACCTCAGTATTGACAAGCTGTCTTAACCAAGCGCTGCTGCCGGCTCTCACCACTTTGTTTGTCAGTCAAAGACAGAGACAGAGACGGCAGGCAGTTGTCTGTCAGTGTGAGGTTCAAGCTGAAAACAGCCTTGACCGGTATCGATGTAAACACACACACGTGTGATTCTTGGCTGTTTTCTCAAAGGAATAGAGCAGCCAGGTCTGTGTCTTTTAATCTTGAAACAATAATAAGGTTGCTTTATGAGATAAAGCAGACTGGAGCTGAGATCTTTACCTATCACTTACTACATCCATTTTAGAAGGTGCCATGCAGGGCTGTGTGTTGGCAAGAGTCTGGTGATACAATACGTTTCACAATACAGGGGTCACGATTGAACATATTGAGATGTATTGAGATACTGTAATAGGGTGAGGAAAACTGTCACACTATAAAGAACACAGCACCATATGCATTAAAAAAAAGTTTAATTTGCTACTTTTTGTGCAGTCCAAACAAAGGATTAAATAACATCTGCCTATTTTAGGGATGTCACGAGAACCGATTCTTCGTAATCAAGGCGATGCCAAAATTCTAAAGCTGTGACAGTACTCGATTTCTCTAGTACTGGTGGTCAGTGATTCAATTCTTCCAGACCAGATGGGGCCAACAAAGAAAGAACTCCTACCAGCACAGAGAACAGCAGCATGTGGAAAACAGCAAATTTACATTATGCTACACACCAGCGGCATGATGAGGCGTTGAGTATCTTCTCTGCCTCTGCACTGAGCTTCTTATTTTGTATGCTTGTGTTTTTTTTCAAGTGCTGAACACTGTGAAAAGTTGTGGATGGTACTAATGAAACCGTTCCGTACTGTCTCCATGTTTGGTCCCCCCCTTTGCTGGGGTACCTAGCACACAGATCTGGTACTAAAAAGTGGAGCTGTGAACACTGCAGTCTGATTGGTCAGTAGAGGATGGTCACTCTGCTCAGGGCTGAGTTGTGGCTGGTTTTGAGGCTCATGTAACCACTGTTCAAACCGTGGAGGGTTTTATTAGTAACTTAATTCACTGGGTTGACTGCCGGCAACTTTTAAGGTGGAACATTTACTTGTAATGTTACTCAATGTATGAGTTGACGACGTGAATCCATCGACACACCTTAAATTTCACTGTGACAACTTTGACCATCACTTTAGTTTTTATTGTCTCTCTTGGATGACATATACTTTTAGTAATGAGTGGATCTTCAAGCTTTTAAAAATATATATTAATTTCGACCGGAACATCCTAATCCTCGCTCTGAGAGCAAAAAAAAAAAAAAAAAAACATATTACGGAGCTTTGTTCCTGTGGGCTCCGGCAACACTAAACCCCTGAGCTTGCCTGAGAAGGACTAAATGCACAAAGCTGCTATTTTTAAATATCCCATGGAGAGAGACTCTCACTGCAGCCTGTTTTATTTTGTTCTGAAAATGTCGGCCTGCAGCCTTGTTCTGTGGACGATAAACGAGATGCAGACTGATAAAGGAGGAAACACAGTGAGTGCAGGAAGGAGCAGTGAGTGACAACAACCCCGCCCACATGAAAGAGTACTGTTTGCGGTGGAAACACTAGTGTCTAGGTACCATGTCTGAAGGGTTACTTGTGGTTTTTGGTTTCTTTTGGTACCATACCGAAAGTATTTGGTGGAAATGGGGCTATAGATGAGAACTTTGTGTTTGAGGTCGATCATCAGGAATGAATAATAACATTTAAATTAAATTTATTTTAAATGGTTTTAAGAAAGTAGTCTGTTTAAGTACATGGGATTTATTGTTTTGTTTCCATGTTTTTGGTATAAAGCTGAAATAAAAGTGCTTGCTGGATTATTAAGTAAACAAAAAACTGTAAAATATTAAAAAATGATGGTCCACAGTATCACAAAACACAATATTGCAAGGTTTCTTAAGGTCATTGATGTTTTCTCACACGCCTCGTCCCATATTCAGTGTTCATGATCTTCTTATGACTCATGACTTTATTTCATCGCGGCATGTTTTGATGTTCTGCTAGTTATTGTGGATTAGTTGAAAGGACATTTATTTCAGCGAGTAAGCCCCAGCAAAACAGTCACAGTACGTGAGCCTGACTGGCAGACAACAGCAGCTTTTCTAATTCAAATGCAGCAAACTGAGGGTGCCTGTGCAAATGCTGCAAACCTGCCTGATTAGAAGGATTGCAGCGATCACTCAGTGAGGGAAGCTGATCCAGATGACGTCCATTTGTGATGTGTTCTCTAGAGTCTGTCCAAAGGAACATGTGAAACTGATGTGACAGCTGTAACTAGTCAATTAAACATCAGGTTTTAACAACCTCTCTGATGATATCCGTGCATGAATAGAGAAGTAATGTAATTCATCTGTATTTATCATCCTCATCCAAATCATGCTACAAAGCCCTTTTTCTTGTGTTCTTTCCTGCCTTCCCATCCATCTCAACCCCAGGCCAGGCAGGCTTCCCCGTCTATAAGTACGTTCCCTACGGACCCGTGAATGAGGTGATGCCCTACCTGTCTCGGAGAGCCCAGGAGAACCGAGGCTTCATGAAGGGTGCCCAGAAGGAGAGGGAGCTGCTGTGGAAGGAGCTGAAACGCAGACTTGCCTCTGGGGAGCTTCTCTACAGGCCGGTGTACTGAAAACACAGAAGAAGAGACAAAGAGTGTGTCAACGTGTCGAATTTTTTATTTTATTTTTCATCTTCTCTAGTTGACGGCTGGTGCTGTGGTTGTCTGTTCTGTCTCTCCCTCTGTACGGCTCTCCCTGGATGTTCATCTCCTGTTCCACCCTGTCCTGGAGTTTTCATGCTGACAGACTGTTTCGGCATGTCGCTCTCTTATTGTGTCTTTGCACTGTTGTTTTTCCCTCCGCTCTGTGATGTTACCCACCATCCTGCCTTTTGTGTACTGCCCATGTTCTCTCTGTTTCCTCGCCTTATCCGCCCCTGCATCCATAAGCATTCCTCATTTTGTCTTCCCGTTGTCTGCAGAGCTCTGGTATCCATCAAGTGGGCATCTTTACTGCTCCAAAAGGACTCCCTAAAATGTCAACGAGACCGGGGCGGGCGTCTCTTTTTATCACCCTATTCATCTTTGAGAGGGACAACAATAATAAAAATAACAGGCTTGATTTAAATGGTAGTAAAGGAAACATCAATATTCCCCTCCTATATTATGATTTTTTGACTCTTGGATGGCCACGCAGTCCCTGGAGGAGGCTTCTCTGCTCTGTGTATTTGTGTTTGAGGTCGTATTGCTTGTTTGAAAATGATGCCTGTTTATGAATCAATCAGAAAGTAAAAATGGCTCCTCACAGCACATCCCTCTTCCTCTAAGCGTGCAATGCTTCTGTTATTGTATTTACTGGAGGAAGCTATATTCTTGGTCACTTGGTGTTACAAGAGAACATACAGTGTTCAGTATTCAGGGAGTGAATCTGCTTTTAATACAGATGCCTGCAAGTCTGGCAGGTTGTTTTATTTTTTCATTTCAAGGGAATAATATGTTGGAGGGTTGACTTTCTCTTCTATTGCATTTTGATGGATTAACACTGCAGTTTTTTATCTTTGACAATGTAAATATGTTTGAAGCAGGTAATTCTATTTGTTGGTTTTACATGTCTCACTTTATGGACCTGTGAAATTGCTCAATGAATAAATATGCACTGTAAGAACAGCAAAAGTCAGACTGTTGTGAAAAGAAGGACTGGGTGTTATTGACTGCACGACTGTAGCCGAGAGCTATTTGTGGAGCTCGGGTTGTTTTGGGTTTTAATTCTGCGACATCTTCCGCTTAGTTATCGATACACAATTAGTATTTGAGTCAGAGGGTAACCAAGCTTCATGATAATTATGGCCTTGTCATTTTACGAGAGCAGTCAGTGCTCTGTAGACCATCATTTAATTACCCATGATGCCACGCTCAATACAGATCACAGAAATTGGATGCATTAATCATCACTCAGAAGAAACTATAGTGGCTGTTAAGTTTTACTGAGGCAAAGCGCCACAGAGCTGTCACTGCTGCTGTATTCTATCGGTTTAATTAAGAGTCAAGTCAGCTTTTTTTAAGATGTAAGATGTGCCTTTGGGTACACATTTTGCCCACAAATCCCTTCCTACGGGGCGCTGGAGTTTTCCTGGTTAGCTACAGATGCAAAGATGATTTAGAGGAGACATAATAGCGTGAATAATTTGACACAAGTTCAGAGTCAATCAAAACAAGCATGGATGCAGCATAATCTCTGGGACCTCTCAACATGTCTCCCTACTTAAAAGCACACAGGCATGTAATGGACTCAGTAGGGGCCAATTTACTTCATGTAATGGGTGTTGGCGTTGCTCTATGCAAGTCTGAAGGATGGCGTACATTACATATCTCTTTGGGTCTCTCAGCCACTGGTACCACACAAAGTCTCTAATTTTGACACTCTAATGTTGTACAATTTTAACAAATGCCAGCAGTATTTTCAGAGTCACGTGACCTTTAGGGAGAACACATTCCTGGATTATACTTAAAAACAAACAGGTGGGCTAAATTGAAGTTTTGCGGCACTAAGCGCTTTATGTTCTATCTGTTCTAGCAAATACCTCTTGGTGCAAATTAGACACATCATCAGTGATGTATCCCGGGGTCATTGGATGTTTCAGGTCTTTCAACATCATACACCCTCACCCAGGTGACCCAGCAGGGGTTGATCAAGCCCTAGCTTGTGTCTAAGTGGCTTTAGTTGTCCATGGATCTCCCAGCTTGACCCACAGCCATCTTGACGCCTTTTCTGCGGCATCAGTGATGTTTTTGATGGCTCCCCTTGTGTGCGGTCCCTTCACTCCAGCATCTTGAGTGCCCTAATGAGACTCGATAGGGTTGCATTGAGTCCGCCATCCTCTGCTTCAGTACTAGTCTGGTAGCCCTTCATATTTGGCCCTCTTCCTTTCAAAGGCCTCCTCCATCCGGTCTTCCCAGGGAACAGTCAACTCCAGCAGGACCACTTGTCTTGATGTTTCTGACACCAGCACCATATCTGGCCTGAGTGTGGTCTCTGCGATGTTCTCTGGGAATTTAAGCTGTCTCCCCAGGTCGACCTTCAGCTGCCAGTCCCTAGCTGTTGCCAGCAGCGCCCCTGTCTGACGCAGACGCTGCTGCGGCTTCTCCCCAGCTTTGGTGAAGGCGATGGACTGCCTTGCAGGTTGCTGCTGTCTACTGCTGTGACTTAATCACGGTATTTTAAAAATCTTATTATTTGGCAGTGGACTCATTGGAAAGTGTAAATTAAAAGGTTTCTGTCAATATTTTTTTTCATGCATGTATGATAAAAACTCCTGGAGATATTAATCCAAATAAATGATAATTTATCTAAATCCCACAGAGCTCTGCTGGCGCAGGTTTCATTGAAGAGGCCCCGCATTCACTTCTAGCAAATCGTTTGCAAAGAATTGTGAGTAATTTATACCTGCTGAGGATACACACATGCATCCTTTGAAAAACTCTAAATGAAGGTCTCAGGGATTTGAAGGATCCTTGACACTGGAACAGTCCTGCCTGGAACAGGCATCTGATTATGTAACATCCTTAATATTCAGCCATTTGAGGATCCTTCCTTGACTTTGAGAAACATCCACAGTCTATGGTTGCACATGGTCTTATCTAAGACTCCAGGAACAGCTCCGAGCTTTGAGGCCAATTTTACATAGTGACCAAACATGGAATTACAACTTCCAGGTTTGTCATATGTTGACATTGGGCCCCAAATACCATTTTCCCATAGACTTACACTGCAATAGACGCATTTGTAAATCAATGGATATATATGTTTCATCCTCACAACTCGAAATGACTCGTTTCACTGTAAGGATTTGATCCTTTCGGCCCGTAAACATTTCTAAGGGCTAGAAGAGGTGCACGATTAAATCATTTTTACCCCCATTCAGGTTAGCAGAGGGCTAAATCGGACGTTAGCCACTCGGCTGGCAGAAGTCTCTCTTGCCCTTGCTCTCTAGGACCTACAATGTGGAAGATCTGGGTAATTTCATACCGTGGAAATAAAGCTTCTTTGGCTTCATGCACCACTGAGAAACTTAGGTAAGGTAAAGGTATGTATAGGGCCCAGCCTTCAGTATCCAGCTTTCTTTATACATTCATGGGTCTGATTGTCTTGGATTGTTTGTTTGGCTGTGTCCTTGGTTTTGCGGTTTAAATGGGATCACACAGCAGTCTGGCACTTCTTAAAGCACCGCCACAAATACTCTGACAGGCCCTGATTTGAAAACATACCGAGCATTGTTTTCCACGTCTCGAAATCTGAAAAGATTTTACTTCCCTGTAGCACAATGGATGGATTGGCTTGCTTCTAATCAGCATTTGTGTGCCAATAGATGAACTGACAGAAAGCAGTACCACGGCTTTGAGCCGCCCAGGAGTATTGTGTGTTTTTATTGTTTGACTCAGACTGAGAGATTACAGGCTTGTTGTGCACAAAACAGAAAACCGGGCCCATGCTCATTCAATTCTACAGCCATAACCATACCTCCAGTAATTAGATGATGTTAAAACTTTATTTCACTCCAGGAGGGCTGAGGAATGATAAAGAAATCAGTTCTGCAATATACAGTAGAAGGCTGATTCATAAACAAACATCTTGCAAAGGTGGAAGGGGAGTTTTCATCTGTCAGCACAATGCTCAAACATTTTAGCTGGAACCACAGATGAGTAATCAGTGTGCTCCCACGTACAACAGTAGCAATGACAGTAGGCTTAATACTCATTCACTTAAATGGCCATCCACACTTAGAACCATAATTATAATAACAACTATAAACATATAGTTTTTAAAATAGCTCTAACTCAAGTGGATGGCAGAGTTCACACCACAACTACGACAGTGGGGAGCAATATCATTGGGAGCCATTTGATGCACGACAGGAACACTGACAGCCAATCAAACACCATCCCAATTTACAGGGTGTCACAGCAGCTTGTGCTTGGCACCACTGTTTACAGGATGTTCATTCATTAGTGCGGATGCTCACATCATTATGGTTATAGTTATCATTCTTGGTGTGGATGGCCCTTAACTGCCCGCTGGCTGACCTTTGGCTGCTGTTTCACTTCAACCACAACAGGACAAATCCAGTTTGGCTGCTTTCTGAATGAGTCACAAGGAGTGTTCCGCATGACAACAGGTCGACTGAGATGTTGAAATCGTTTGATGCTTCTGTAAAAAAGTAACTTAAATACAAGTGGAGATGGGGGGAAAATTCAAAAAGCCCTTCAACTATAGACAGCAGACTGTATTTCCCGACATTGCAACATAATCGCAGCATCATTTCTACATGGCCAGTCAGAGTGACAAGCACAGTATAACTCACAATATTGGCGTCAGTAAAAATGCTGCAAGACACGTTGTCAATATTTTATAACAACATCTGAGGCTAACTTGGCTCAAATGTCTAACAAGGAGAAACAAGGAGAAAGGGTGGTTAACTTTCTGCAAGACACTGACATTTCCCCAGCAAAATAACTGCCAACACTTTACAATAAGGTGCAAAGAAAACCCAGAGTAACAACTGAGGAACAAACCAGAAACCAAGTGCCAATTAACGAATATCCCATAATAGGAAACACTGTTCTATGGGCTACATAGAGTTAGGGATACTCAACATTTCTAGACAACCCAATCGCCAGCATTTTGACACTGGACGTTTGTACATTATTATGTAGCGGATACATCGAAAGTTCACGTCACCAGCGCTGTGGTTAACGTGTGGTTAGTTTTGGCACAAAAACCATTTTGTTATGATTTGGAAAAGATCATGTTTTGCCTTTGGTGGCATAATCCCAGCTGGGACAATAAAAACAATCACTTTCTGTTGCACTACTCTGGCTGTAAGGAAGCCCCAGAGGCCCAGGGTGCATTCTGTCTCATGTACTCCTTACTCACGTCTGACCTCAAGAAGAGACTAAACATCAAGGAAACAGGGGACTGTCTTGAGATTACTTAATGAGCATGTTGGTGGGAAAACAACTGGAAGTGCACTAAAAAGACTGATGTTTCTATGTATGAACTGAAAGTCACTGCAAGGTTGTGCAACAGTCTCTGCATTTCCTCTTGTACTGCATGAACTGATGACCTGATGCGAATCCTCGGATAGTGAAGGAATACTCTGCCTCTGATTGGCGACGTTTTTACCCCAACCAATCCCACACCTCATGCTTAAACCTAACTAATCCAATCAACAGAGCCAACAAACAGGCCTTGCCTTGCCTTGCCTTACTAGCCAATCACAGGGAGAGAAGGGTGGGTCATTCCTTCGCTACGCTAGGATACACTAATATTTGACTTGTATGACGGTAAGATTAGCAAGCAAATGGCATGACAACGCAGGTTCCTCCCCCTGTTGTGGTATTTTGGTGACATATCTGAACTTCTGACCTGTCAAAGCCATTGTGTTAAATATTAATAGTGTATGTATCTATGATTTTACCATATAAAAAGATGCTTGGTGTTGAGATTTGGAGGTGTTTTTTGAGACAACCTCCATTTTCCTAGTAGAAAACATAAGTGAGGAGGTGGTTAAGTGTTCCTTTTAAGAGGACCTTTTATGCTTTGTTGTATTTTTTTCCTTTCAGATTGTATTGGGAGTACTAGCACCAAACCAGTTGGAACATGATTGCACTTGACT